CGCGGGCTCAGGCAATCCCCTCACCTCAGCCTCCCAAAGGTGCGGGATTACAGGCTGAGCCACCGAGCCCGGCTGAAAAAGACTTTTCATGGAGTAGGCTGCGTAGAATGCCGTTCAGCAACTCGTAGATCCACCTGAGGGACTGCTCAAGAGCTAAGCACAGTCATCTTGACTGGTGCCCTCGCTGGGCACGGGAAATAGGTTGGGGTGTTTGTCCCAAGAAGCACAGTCTTTCCCTTTTCTTTCCTCCATTTTTTGGGTAAATTTTATGTGTAGATAGGGAGCAGAAGATAATTAAACAGGAAAAGATTTGAAGGTGGGGAGGACAGTTAAGCAGGACGTGCAATGTGAGAGAGGGTGTCAGAAGTTGAACAGTTGCTGACGAGGACAGCCAAGTGGTTAGGAGGGCAGGGCAGAAGGTGTGCCTGTCAGTGAGTGGTGGGGAGGGCAGGGTCGAGGGTATGCCTGGCAGTGAGCGGGCGGGAAGAGAAGGTCCAATCCTACTTCCCCCTACCCTAAGCCCTTCTGACTTGCTGTTGTTGACTTGCTCTCTGGATATTTCCAGGGACATTACTTGGGTTTTGCAGCAGTTGCCACTAACATGCATGATAATTGTGAACCCTCCCACTAAATCTTTAAATTGCCTAAGTAAAGGAGAAGTTCCCAGAAGCAGATGCATTGAAGGAAACAGGGAGCGGTCACAACAGGAACAGAAACTCTTAGAGGCATCGTATTAACATGGTATATGAACGTACAAGAATCTGTTCCGTCTACTACCAACAAGGGAGGTGCAGGTGCTGTTCGGGTCAAGCGGTGATACCTGTCAACATCTATGGAAGGAGGGTGTGTGAGCACGGCACTACATACCTCCCACGTGTCAAGTCATGTGATCCTCATAATGACCCTATCATGTAGATATTCTCCCACTTTTTTTTTTTTTGAGTTGGAGTCTCACTCTGTCACCCAGACTGGAGTGCAGTGGCCGCTCCTGGCCACCGCAGCCTCGACCTGCTGAGCTCTGGCGATCCTTCCGCCTCAGCCTTCCAAGTAGCTGGAACTACAGGCGGGCCCTACCACACCGGGCTAATTTTTGATTTATTGTAGAGATGAGGCCTCACCAAGTTGCCCAGGCGGGTCTTGAACCCGCGGGCTCAGGCAATCCACTCACCTCAGCCTCCCAAAGGCGCGGGATTACAGGCTGAGCCACCGAGCCCGGCTTCTCCCACTTTTTAAATGAGGCACAGATGATGAAAATCACCAAATAACACTGGTGCAAATAGTGGTTCCAAGTCTCATTGGGATTGACAGTTCGGGTGTGCAAACAGTGTGCCTGTAGGCATGGTCACGAAGCCGGGCAACAAGGCTGGGCACCTTCCAGGCAGAAATGCTCAGGGATGAGGTGCCACCTCCCGGGCAAGGCAGTGAGGGGAGCAGCCTGGGGGAGGGGCTGATGCTGGCGTGAAGGATGGTTGCGATCAAGGCGACTGAGGAGGCAGTGCAGGCACAGGAGCAGCACAAGGGAAGGCGAGGAGGTGGCCGCTAGGTTTGGGAAACAGAGAGTGAAGGTCTCTGGAGGGAGAGTCAGTTCTTGGGAGAGATGCAGAGCAGACCATGGAAAGCCACACAACCCAGGGGCGGACGGCCTCTGCTCAGGCCGGTGTGTCTGGGCTTGATTTGGGGACAACGAAGCGACACTGAAGGTTTTTGAAGAAGAAACTGGCTTGACTACAGAAGAGGGTTAGAAAGATGAGCAAACTGTCAGTGTGTGCTGCATTGGAATGGAGTGAGGTGTGGGGTCTCTGTAGGACCCTGGCCTTCAGACTTCTTTTTCTGACTTGGCCCGCAGTAAGGAATACATTTCACATAATGACTCAGTTATAAGTAATTTTTTTATCTAACCCTTATTATGTGTGATACACTTAAATATCCTCTATTTTATTCCACTCCTTAATTGTATATGGTACTAACTACCCAACTGACTGAGTCTGTAATCCACTCATGGGTGGATTCCCACAGTTTGGCTAAATTATCTAGGTTAACTCTGAGCAGAAGTGGAAAGAGGTAAAGGATGGGGCGTGTACAGTGAGAAGGAAGAGGAAGGAATGCATAGGGATATGCCATGTAGGAAAATTAATGATATGTGGCCACCGACTGGAGGAGGGCTGGAGCGTGGCTGTGTCGGGGCACAGCTGTCGGGCTTCAGTCTAAGGACTGGCAGCTCATTAGACATGCAGACTCTCAGGCCTCTCCCAGACCTACTGAGTTAGAACCTGCATCTCAGCAGGACCTCCTGGTGGGTGCTATGCATGCCCGTTACAGTTTGAGAAGGCCAACTTAGAAGAAAGGGTTGAGTCAAAACTCACTCCAGGATCTGAAACTTAGTTCCCAAGACAACGACAGGGAGGTTTAGAAGAAAGAAATGGTTTTGGTGGCAAGATGATTATCTAACTTTAGACACGCTGGCCTTAAGAAAGCTTAGGACATCTAAGTGGAGAACTGACCATTGACAAAGACGCTTCACTTGGCCAAACATTGGTTAGGTTTCTGAGCCTTCTCCTGGACACTTCTGGTACCTCCTGTGAAATTCAGTCTTAGCAAGAGTCTTGCTAAGTCTCTTAGCAGGAATCTCCCCCATCAATACCTGACCCTCTCCATATCTAGGCAGGCTCCTTATCTCCTACCATCCCCCAGGTGAGGCTGATCGTCTGTCTGTCTTTAGAAGGAATCTTGTTAAGTTGGTTTAGCTAGAATGCCCCTTACCCTTGATGCTTCCTCTTAGTAATTTTCCATTTCTGACCCCCCACCCTGTTTCTTAGCTATAAAATTCCACTTGCCCATACTGTGCTGAGAATTGAACCTAGTTGTAGGCTGGGGTCTCTTTTTCCCTATTGCAATAGTCCTGGATAAAGTCTGTTTTCAGCCAGGCTTGGTGGCTCAGCCTGTAATCCCTCGCCTTTGGGAGGCTGAGGTGAGTGAATTGCCTGAGCCGTGGGTTCAAGACCCGCCTGGGCAACTTGGCAAGACCTCATCTCTACAATAAATAAAAAAATTAACCGGGTGTGGTTGCGCGTGCCTGTAACTCCAGCTACTTGAAAGGCTGAGGTGGAAGGATCGCCAGAGCCCAGTGGGTCGAGGCTGCGGTGGCCAGGAGCATGCCACTGCACTCCAGTCTGGGTGACAGAGTAAGACTCCAACTCAAAAAAAGTCTGTCTCTTACAAGTCTCCAAAGAAAGTTGAAGTCATTTCCAAAGGAAATGTCACTGTGATTGAAATGTACAACTCTTTTCACTGAAGGAAGATATACTTGGAAGCAAGTTTAGAAGTGATTGGTGGAGCAATCCCTTTGGGTCCCCTCCCACTGTGGGAGCTTTTCTGTCCTCTCAATAAATCCTGTTTTCTCAAAAAAAGAAGAAGAAGAAGAAAAAGTGATTGGTAAGGGAGGTTGTAGAATAAGTCAGAGATCTCTTAAAGTTGATCCTGATCAGGCAGAACTGTGGTTCAGTAGGGAAAAAAAAAAATCACATTGTCCCAAATGTAGACATGGATGAAAGAGTGAGCATGCTTACTGCTGTCCTTCCCATGAGGATTTCTTCCTGCTTTAGTGTAAATACCAGCTTGACCGTTAGTCCTAACTGGACTAACTAACCTAGCTGGAGTTCAACTGCATAAGAAACTCTGTGCCAGCAGAATGAAGAGCATGGGATTCATTCAAAAACATTTATCAAACACCAATATGTGATTTCCTCTCTTCCATATTCTGGAAATACAGCAGTAAACAAAACTGCCCTTGTACAATATACATTCGGCTGAGGAGAGAGAAGCAAGCAATAAATAAGTAAATTATAGAGTATCTTACATGGTGATAGGGGTTACTGGGAAAAATGAGAGCAGGGTATGAGAGATTAGGAATGTCAGCTGGAGGCAGGGACTTGCAATTTTAAATAGGGCAATGGGGGGAGATCTTGGTAAGAAAGTGACATTTAATGAAGAATTGAAGGAGGTTAGCGAGTGAGCCAAGTTCAGGAAGAGGCATAAGGCAGAGAACAGGTGTGCAAAGGCCCTGAGGCAGAAACACACCATAGCATGTTTGAAAACAACAAGGAGCCAATGTGATGGAACAGAAATGAGCAAAGGGAAGAGTGGTGAGAGACGAGGCCCAGGATGTAACAGGCTGGGGAACTCAGCAGGTCAGCCGGGAATGCACTGGGAGAGTGAGTGGACTGCAAAGGATTAAGGACAAAGGGTCTGGACAGAGAGCAGGCCACACATGAAAGGCAGGGCATTAACGAGCACTTGAGCAGGGCTTTAAAACTGGCAAAGCCCTTCATGATGCAATCTCTTTAAACCGTGGTCACTCCCGCTGAGCACCTTAGGGTTAGAGAGTTTCACATGTGGTCTCTGTTGATCTGCAAGTTTCCCTGTTTTACAGATACCAGCAGTAAGGGTCCTGCTTTTGACAACATATCAGGAACATCAAAGTCAGAACTCGAAAACAGGCCCAGTTCCCTAAATCCTTATCTCTGACTCCACTTCCTCATGCTGCTCACTGAGATCAAATAGCCGCCAGCTAGCTACACACTCCAGACACATCATGTCATTCCTCCAGGCCCAATGAGAAAAATGGGTGTTGGCCTTGAGAAGACCTTCACTCAACACTCCACAGTCTTGGTCAAAATCACCAATAAATATTTGTTGAATGCCTTGTGACAGACTCTGTGGGAACAGGCGGAGTTGTGAGAGAGGAGGCAGGGCTGAGCTAGAATCACGGTGTAAAACGGTGGCTCAATTAATATTTCTTAGAAATTAAGTGGATTCAAAGTATCAGAACACGTTTCACGTACAGAGTTGTGTTGTTTTCTGAATTTATTGTTATATGTAGATGAATACTGGTAAATATTTTTGTATCTACACAGAGACACAGATAACTCATGGACCTTCTAGGTCCGTGTAAAATACTTCTCTTACACCGGCTCACCAACGAACATTTGAGAAACAACTGGAATGAGCGTGACTGCGACCTCTGCCTTCAAGTAGAGGTCAATGGATGCTTCTATGACAAACCGTGTAGCAGGAACTGACAAAAGAAGGGAAGGGAGAGACAGGAATACTGACCTAACAGATGAGAGAAAACGACAGGAGCTGACCGGGAAACCCTGTGCCCGCTCCATACACACAGTCTACACTCAACCCTGCCCATCTACACAGTCCACACTCGCCTTCTCTGTCTACACAATCCTCGCTCCATCCTCAACATCGACACAGTCCGTGCTCAACCCAGTCCCCTACAAAGTCCCCCCCACCCTCTCCATCTACTCAGTGCGCCCTCCATGTCTCTCCAGCCACACAGTTCTCCCTTTCTCCTGTTCCCTTCGACACCATACCCTTTTTATCTTCTCCCTCTGCACATCCCACCCTCCATTTTCTCCCTGTCTACACAGTCTACTTTTCCACTATCATTGTCCTCCCATCGTTAAATCCTGGGAAACTGCGATTATTTAAGATTCAGAGTTTCTTTTATCCTCCTCAGTATTTCAGTAATATAGTTCGGTATTAATAAATATTTATCTAATAAATAGAGTAAAAATTATGTTTTCTCTGGTCAACTTTTAGGGTTTGTTTTTTAGTTAAATTAATGTAATCAATTTAAATTAATTTCAGTTAAATTTTAATTTTTTAAAGGTTCCTGATGTCATCTCACTCAAGATGGCTACATTTTGATAGGAGAGTTCCACATATCAGAAAGCTTCAGAATAGAATGATTCAGTCTCCAGTGATGTCAGGCATCACAGGAATCAACGAGAGAAGGAATTCCCAAGCACCTGGGCCTCCCCAGTGCCTCTTCATCAGTACCAACATGGAAGCTACAAGCTACTTGCTCTTGAGCCTAGATGTGTTTACTTCTCTGGCAGGGAGCTGAGGCACCAGCCAAGCATTTATCTGTGCAGTAGTTCAATGAGCACACCCGGAGCACCCACTCGATGCTGCACATGACCTTAGGTCATGTGCTTTCCTAATGGACTGTGAAGTTTGTTGCTCACTTCTTGAATTATTTTCAGCTCATATAAGAGCATGCAAAGACAAAAATGGGAAACAAACATTGGGGCTTGCAAATTTTGGGGTCATGCAGACACGTGTTGGTATTTCAAATGAAAGCTTTAGTCTAAAATGTATTTTACCTTACTCTCCATTTTAAAATTACACTTCATGGTTTTATTTTTCTAAACTCAAAATTCAAATTTCAAAATGTAAATTCTAATTTCTCAGAATATCAAGGTGAGAGAATTAAAATAAAATAAACTTTCAAAAATTTGTTTTGAGAATTTTGACTACTTTGTGTTATTGGAAAATTTGAAAAGGACATGTTATTGTTTCCCCTTTCCCTCCCACTTTTAAAATTTTCTCCATATAGTTAATAAAATATTTTCTTACCAAAGCTCCATTCCAGATGGGACAAGCAATCTGAACACTCCATCCTGTGAACCAAAGCTTGCAAGAAAAGACAGGGAAAAAAGCAATAATTCCAGAGCATACACTGAGACTCCCCAGAGCCACGAGAATCCGGCCTGCAGTCTGGTACAGGCCCTCCATCTTTCTCTGTGACTTTGGTCTTCGGTCTCTAAGATGTGTTGTTACCAAAACATGCAAGTATGGCAGTCCTCAAGAAACAAAAGTTTCTTAGAGACTGTAGCCATGACACGAGGGGATTGTTTCCTACTTGGAAACAATATTGTATTTGTTTCACCAAAGGTAAAACCTAAGAAAAGAATTCTTGACATAAATTTGACATGATAGATTTTAATACTAGTTTATTTCAGAGAGAAAGAGAAAGGGAAAATCCTTCCTTATTTTGGAGTGGCAGTCTCTCTTTTTTTTTTTTTGAGTTGGAGTCTCACTCTGTCGCCCAGACTGGAGTGCAGTGGCCACTCCTGGCCACTGCAGCCTTGACCTGCTGGGCTCCAGCGATCCTTCCGCCTCAGCCTTCCAAGTAGCTGGAACTACAGGCGCGCGCTACCACACCCGGCTAATCTTTTTGATTTATTGTAGAGATGAGGTCTCACAAAGTTGCCCAGGCGGGTCTCGAACCCGCGGGCTCAGGCAATCCACTCACCTCAGCCTCCCAAGGCGCGGGATTACAGGCTGAGTCACTGATCCCAGCTTGGCAGTCTTGATTCCTTCACTCTCCCCTGTCCTGGGGAGTGACCACGTCTGGCTTAATCAAACTCAAAGGTTGCTGATTGAGCTCATTGTTCCTCAACTCAACCTGCATAGTGATTCCAGCACAAAGCCATCATCCTTTGTGTATGATAGATTCACATACCCGGCACAAGTTCCCACAAAAGAAAGTAAAAATAAGCACTCTGATCACTTTTCATTACACCTAATTTTAATGATTTCAAGCAAAAACAAGACCTTCACCTTTTCCAAAGTTTAATTCGACTACAATTATTTTTGAATTTTTGATAAATGTTTTTGAGATAGATTCATCCCCAAATGGGCATAAACTTAATTATGGAGTTCTGCATTGTTTCTCCTAAGCCAGCTTCACCTTAGTTATTTGATTAATTTTCAAGTAAAGTGCAAAGATGAAGATGCTTGCAGTTGTAAAACAAAATAAACTTTATGATGTAATCTATCAGTTGACTAAATACTGACCTTCATTGATTCTTGAATCATCATTCTAATTTGAGATGTTGGACTTATGTAAATATAAGCAATTGTAAGGTCATCTCTTAATTTTTTATGCATTTGATAAAGTGGTGCTTATTTGCTTTGGACTGATAGGACATGTTTGAAGGTCTGTTCCAGGATAATATATTGAAAGCACAGACCACTTTCTCAAGCTATCTGAATAATTTTCCTGTTCAGCATTAATACCTTTTTCTCTAAACAAAATGGTGAAAAATAATATGAATGGAATTATAGTAGTTTAGGACATGGATTTTGAATCAGACAGAGCTGGGATCTGATTCCGGTTCTGCTCTTTGTCAGGTTTGTGTCCTTTGTCAGGTTTTGTCAGGTTAAGAGTAAATTACTTAGCTTTTCTAGGTCTGTTTCTTCATATGGGAAACAAGAATAAAAATTGGTGTTTATCTCACCAGGTGTTTGGTTGAGAGGATTAAATGAGCTAATACATGTAAATACTTAGCACTGAGCTCAGGGTGACAAAAATGTTCAGAAAGTTAACTGTTTTTATGTTAAGACAATCTGTCTTTGGAGTTCTTTCAGGGTGGGACCAAGGTACAGTCATTATTTTTTTAATTCAGCTCCTTATAAATACTAGGTTTAACTCTTTCTGATCAATTTGGTAAAAACTTCCAAAGGACCCTCTCCCATGTGTGGTGGGGAGAGAAGCTTCTCTCTGATTCTCTGCATTTTCTTTCTGCCTTTCTATCTTTAATAGCAGTTTGATCCAGATTTGACAGTAGTTACATTCCTGGATATCCAGAATCCAGGAAACCCGCTCAGGCTTTCTGGTACAGCTGTTGTTTCCCATCTCCTCTCAACACTATGGGCTCTATTCTCTGAGTTTTTTTTTTTTTTCTGACACCACTGGATAAGTTCCACAAGGGCAGAGACCTTGAAAGTCTAACACATTTCCTAAGTAGGCAAGACATCCCCAGCACCTAGAGCAGCATCTGCCACAGGCAGGTATCACAGGAAGAAGCATTTGTTGAATCAGTGTGTTAGACCTTCCCCTGGGAATGGCACAAGCTTGGGTCCTGTGCATTCGTCCTGCCAGTGTGTGTGTTAAGCGAGTTTATTCCCTTACTGTGGGGGTAAGAGTTAGGAGTGAAGAAAGACTTGTGTTAGTATTTGGTTTGCACTGTTTTGACTTTCTCCTTTACTTTTTATCTCAAGGTTATAGCTACATGGTATGTCAATATACTGTGGGTCAGATCACTCTCTCCTGTTTGCATGTTTGGAAAATAAAGACTGTTGAAATTCTCATGTTAAACAGTACAAAGGTGGCAGACAAAGACTATTTTTTGGTTTTAATTTTGGAAGGCTTTTTAAGTGCCTGTAGAACTTATAGCCTAACCCTGACACTGTCATTATGACTTGTAAACCTGAATCTACTAGTGATTAAAAGAGTTGTTGCCACTTAATATGACAAAGAGAAAGGACAGAGGTGGGACTAGAGATTTTGCTCTATGCTTTCCCACAAGAGTCTACTCACACTAATTTCATTAAAGCAAGGACACTTTCAGTGACTACGGGGAAGGAAGAGAAAGTGTAATGGCGCCCCGTCCCAGGCTCTCTCCAGAGTAGGCCTTCCTGTGTCCCATGTTCTAGTAGCCAGCAGGGTCTCTGCTCCTTCTAGCACTCCCATTTGGCACTAACTTCTTGGAAGGCAGGCAAGTTCTCCTTGGAGGTGGTGGAGTCAAGGTCTTTGTAGGTTGCTTTCAGACCCCACCTTCTCCCCAACCCAAGGGATCCCAGATATTCAGGGAATAATGGCAAAAGCTTCACAAAACTCTTCAATCCAGCTTTGCCACTGAAAACAAAATGCACAAACAAAAAGCCCAAATTTACATATTGATGTCAACACCTACATGTCCACAAGAAATCATCAATCCATCAAGCAAGCAAACCTGAACCCCCAAAGAGGTAGAAGAATGTCAGTGAAGCTCAGGGACAGAGCCTGACTTGAACATTCTCTACCATTCTCTAACATTCTTTAAAACAATTCCTTCATATGTAAGCCCTGAAAATAACAGCTCCGTGGGCACTGTAGTCTTGGGATATTTATTTATTTGTTTGAGTCAGGATCTCACTCTGTGACCCAAACTGGAGCACAGTGGCACAATGATGTCTCACTCTAGCTTTGACTTCCTGGACTCAGGTGATCCTTCCACCTTAGTCTCCTTCGTAGCTGGAACTACAGACGTGTGCCACCACACCCAGCTAACTTTTTTTTTTTTTTGAGTTGGAGTCTCATTCTGTCGCCTAGGCTGGAGTGCAGTGGCACACTCACGGTTACCTCAGTGTTGACCTGCTGGGCTCCAGCGATCCTTCCGCCTCTGCCTTTCAAGTAGCTGGAACTACAGGCAAATACTACCATACCTGGCTAATTTTTTGATTTATTATAGAGATGAGGTCTCACCATGTTGCCCAGGTTGGTCTCGAACCTACAGGCTCAGGCCATCCTCTTGTCTTGGCCTCCCAAAGTGCTGGGATTACAAGCTTGAGCTGGGATTGTTGTTTTTTTTTGAGTTGGAGTCTCACTCTGTCACTCAGACTGGAGTGCAGTGGCCGTTCCCGGCCACCGCAGCCTCGACCCGCTGGGCTCCGGCGATCCTTCCGCCTCAGCCTTCTGAGTAGCCGGAATTACAGGCATGCGCCACCACGCCCGGCTGATTTTTTGATTTATTGTAGAGATGAGGTCTCGCCAAGTTGCCCAGGCGGGTCTCGAACCCGCGGGCTCAGGCAATCCACTCACTTCAGCCTCCCAAAGGCGCAGGATTACAGGCTGAACCACCGAGTCCTTCTTGTTTTTTATTTTTAATAGAGAGACTGGCTTGCTATGTTGCTTAGGCTGGTCTTGACCTCTTGAACTCAGGCAATCCTCTTGCCTGGCCTCCCAAAGTGCTGGGATTACAGGCATGTGTAAGCCACAGTGCCTGGCCTTGGAATTTTTAAAGTAGTTTCAAAGTTACAGAAGGGGTTCATTTTTGCTAAGATAGAAGAAAATTGAGGTCCAAACAAGAGATGAAATTGAAGTGCTTTCTTTTCCTAGCAGCTCAGATGACTAGCTTCATTTGCTTACTGTTAGAAAGGTAGCTTGTGTACTGGAAAGGGAATGAGCTTTGGTGTCAGAAAGACCAAGGTTTGATACTGATGATTCCATCTGATAGATACAAAATGAATGAAAAAAAAAGATAGAAAAATTAGTATTCTGCTAGAACGCGTATAGGAATTGATTTAGGCTGGGATCATCAACAGATGTTAAAACTATTGAATAAAAGGACGATGAAATTACAATGGAAAAGGGTACAAAGTAGAAATATGGCAGTTAGCACATTAACCAAGTGATCCAACTTTACATCGCCCACAATAGGAAACACAGGCGTAATTGTCTCCTGATATGATATAACACAAGTCCACACTACCTGGGAAGTATTTTTGGCAAAATTATTTAGCCTGAATCTTCTCATAATGAAACAATTGGATATATTCAGATTATAGGAATATTTCAAAAAGCACTGGCCTAGACTCTTTATAATTGTCAAGGTCATAAAAGATTAATGAGACAAATGAGAAAATTTGAGCATGTAGTTTATTTTAGATACTACTGTATCAGTGTTAAGCATTTTGGGAATATGAATGGCATTATATTTAATAAAAGTATGTTCCATTGATGAAACTAGGTGACATTAGTGTTCTTTATGCTTTCTCTCAGCTTTTCTACAGGTTTGGAAATTTCAAGGTAAAAGTTGAGCGAAGAAAAAAAAAGATTTAGATGCATTAACTGCATACAATGAATGGCTTAAGTTTCGCTTGGGAACGTGGTCCTGCTGGCTCAATAGCCCTTGAGGATGTCGATGAATGTGGGTTACAGTGCTGGGAACCCAAGGCAAAGGCTGCTCTGGTCTCCTTCGGCACCAGACCTGTCTTC